ACAGCTGAGAAAAGACTGCTAGGAAACTAAATTCCCACTGTGTAAAATGTGTTAAACTTTCTCAGACTAGCTGATCTGACTGAGGAATTAGATCTCTTTAGTATATCAAAAAGACAGCAACTTCTGGCACTGCAAAGAGAGTATAGCTCTGCTCTGACTGAGTTGCATTATTAGTGTTAGTGGTCCTTCTATTGTATAACATTCTCCAAATTTTACAAATATTATAAATTGACCATAACTGTCTCATAAAAAGATTGTTTCAAGCTTTAATGTAAAACTGACAAAAGGTATAGTATGCTTAACCTCTAGAGTCCCTGCGTCCTCATATGAGGACCGCACAGCTTGGGTTTCCAAAGCTCAGGACTCTAGAGGTTAATGTAATTCTTATCTGTTGCAGTCGATTAAGTATCTACAGTACAGTACGTCAGATAATTGTTTAAAATGCCTGTATACGTGCTGATGACAGATTAATAATGTAAGGTAAAAGAATACTGCTGATTGTAGCAGCTTCGCATCATCTATCTTGAGGTGTTTATTCAGTAAAGACTTGTCAGTCGCTTTTTCTTCCATCCCCGGTCTAATCCTGTATGAATCTACAGTAGTACATCCCTAACTCAGGGCTTTGGTTGACTGTATACTCTCTACTCGTGGGTATGGGATACAGTATGGCCGTTCTGATCAGAGGTGCTGCTCAGTCTGGGCTGTGGCGCCCTCTGGAGGATGGGAGAGCTCGGTGCTATAGCGGCTGGATTGTAAATGATAAGTGATAAAACCATGTATTCTCCAACTTGATCGGATTAATTGGTCACCTTGAACGAAGTGTTTTCACAGACACTAACACAAGCACGGTCCTCGGGCTGCAGTGTGTGTCTGTGTATGTCTCGGAGAAGTGACGTGTGCTAGCGGCTTATCTGGTGACGTGTCTCTACTGCTCTCTCTCTCTTCCCTCACGGAGTAGCTGGATGGAGCCACACTGACTCCGCCGAGCACTCAAACTGGTACCAGTAACAAGCCAGGAGTCGGTTTAAGGACACCATGGGGAGTACGTGACATTCTGCTCTTTTATAAACACGTCATTGGTGATTTCAATTGTCTGCTGTCTTTTTAATCTCTAATAGTATTGGACATAAAGTGCATGTCGGGAAGCTAATAAGCTAACCTTGGATAGGTTTTGTAGCAAGTTGAGCTAGCTTATAACGGGAGCTAAGTATGTGTTTATATCAGATTTTGCCTCACTGGGATTGATTTAAGTTACCGAAAATTGTGTCACGGTTAAAAGCCGTTTCTAATGTCTTGCGTTGTTTTTTTTTTCAGACAGGCGCCAGAGCTTCCTGTTTTACAGTGATTGCTAGTTCGTTTTATGTCTGAATGCTAGTTAGCTGTACGCTAACGTCAGTTACCTGTGTGAACTGTTCATCTAGGATAGTTTAACGTTACTGTAAAAACAAATCGAGGTTGGTTATTCTGCCTGTATATATGAGTGCGATGATAGGTTTGCAATGCCAAACTGGCTGATAGAACACCAGCAGATCATTAAATCGCTTGCTGTCAAAGTCAGTTTCAGTGATTGACACAGCTCAATACCTGGTTTAACATTCAACAGCGCAATGGAAAACGGTCGAAAATGGCTACACACTGGATACTAATTATTATCAAGTTCTTCGCGTGATGTTTTGTCATTGTGGTTATAACTAAGAGAATATTGTGCTTGTTGTTGCACTGGTCCGTTGACCCGGCTGCCTAGTTAAACTGCGCTGGCAGCTGTTTAGCTGATGGTTAGTGATGACGTATCATCTGAGCTGACCAGCGAGTGCAAATTGCACAGATGTGCTGATCATCAGAAGAGTGTGACTGATTTATATGTCAATGTAATATTCCTTTAGTGATTTAACCCGCTGTTCTTTTTGTCTAGTTAAATTTTTGGAGGTCATCAAGCCGTTCTGTGCGGTCCTGCCAGAAATTCAGAAACCAGAAAGAAAGGTAAGCTTAAGAAAGCTTTGCACTATCTCTGCACTGTGTTTGCAGAACTGAATGGATATGAATTACACATGTTCCCTTTCTAATCTTCACAGATTCAATTTAGAGAAAAAGTACTATGGACGGCCATAACGCTATTCATCTTCCTAGTGTGCTGCCAGGTTAGTATTTACTGATAGCTGGACCAAAACTGAATCTGCATTTTTGTTGTTGTTGTTTAGTTTGTTTTTTTTACAGTAATCACAAAAATGCACTGAAGCAAACTTAAGCAGGGTTAAAGAAAACACTGAAATTTTAAATGTGATCATTTTTTGTTTCATCAGCATTTGAAGACACTCATTGTGGACATTTGTTCAAAATTCCACCAGCATGAAATTTACGGACAAATGGCCACTGAAATACAATAAGTTCAATTTATTTAGATGTAGGCTACTGACCAACCACCATTACAAGAAAAGAGGGCATGGGAGGAGTTGAGATAATGGTGTGTGTTTTCAAACAGTCTCCTCAGGAGACATGAATATCTTTGTTAACAGACGTTAGCCTAGGTTGTTCACATAGGCTACTGAAGGGAACAGCTCTAGAAGGTGATGTAAGAAGTGTCACAGATTGTTGTGTAAGGAATGATAAAGAAGAGCCAGACAGAGATGTGCAACTAGCCAATCAAGGTGTGAAATAGAGGTCTTGGCTTGAAAAATTACAAAAAAAACCCCACATCAACTGTTGCACACATGCAGGCAAGGGCAAATATGCTTACATTCTTGAGATTTTACTTTCTTTTCAAAATCTGCACAAAATCTGCAGAGGTGTCATCGGAATTCTGTGAATTCAGATTCCGTTTGGCCCTGCTGACGGCAAACTTTGATGATGACAGTGGTTTGTGACTCATGTTTTTCTTGATTCAGATTCCCCTGTTTGGCATCATGTCTTCAGATTCAGCAGATCCTTTCTACTGGATGAGAGTAATCCTGGCTTCAAACAGAGGTGCTTGCATTGCATATTTATGATCGACCGTCAGTCTTTAATCACACTGCTTTTTTTACACCTCTTGTGCTGCTCCAACAAGGAGAAATAATCAAATTCCACTGTTGTTATCAGGCCTAATCTCATTATATCATGATAAATAAGCGGTCAACAGTTATTGGTCCTCTTGTATTGTTCTTGGTGCTATTGTTGTATTAACTGTGACTGTGACACTGTTGTCCAGGTACTCTGATGGAGCTGGGTATCTCACCCATTGTCACTTCAGGCCTTATCATGCAGCTGCTGGCTGGTGCCAAAATCATTGAGGTGGGAGACACTCCCAAGGACAGAGCGCTCTTCAATGGAGCTCAGAAATGTAGGTCTTATTGCTCACAACATTAGCTATTTTTACTTGTCATATACCTCTGAAGCCTTGACAGTGTTTTATATATGTGCTCAAAGCACTATTTCTGTGGTAGGAACACGGGTGCCGTTGGCGGGGGGGGAGTTAGGATGATTCTAAGGGCCCACGAACTTTGGGGGCCCACAGAGACTAGCTTTGGGTGAGGTTGAGGGCCCAACTTCAAATTTTTTCATAGGGCCCAAAACTGCTAGCGGCGCCCCTGGGTAGGAACATCAGTTTTACAGAAACCCTGCCTGTAATGTTGCCAACTGTAAATAATTTTTTTTCATCCTTTTGCAGTGTTTGGAATGATCATCACCATTGGACAGGCCATTGTATATGTAATGACTGGCATGTATGGAGACCCTTCAGAGATGGGTGCAGGGATATGCTTGCTTATCATCATCCAGGTTAATAAAAACTCCCACTGCAGCTCTCTGTTCCATTGATCTATCAGTCAATGAATTCCTTTTTCTAGCAAACAGACAAATATAGACTAGTGTTGTGATCACAGTAGGGATCCTTTTATGCTGTGTCAGAAAGATACTGTACTGTCAGTTTTGACAGCCCTAATGGCTTTGTTTACTAAAGACAAATTTTACAAAGCTCTTCCTCCTTCCTGTTGTTGCAGCTCTTTGTTGCAGGTCTGATCGTCTTGCTGCTGGATGAGCTGCTGCAGAAGGGCTATGGGCTTGGCTCTGGTATCTCTCTTTTCATTGCAACTAACATCTGTGAGACGATCGTCTGGAAGGCCTTCAGCCCCACCACAGTCAACACTGGCAGAGGTACAGGCACTGGGAACAAACATTTTAAAGCTGAGTGATGAGAAAGGAGCCAAATTGCTTAATCTGTATTATAATTACTAACCTTGTGAAACGTGTGGATTATTCAGGCACTGAGTTTGAGGGAGCCATCATTGCTCTATTCCATCTGCTGGCCACCCGCACGGACAAGGTGCGTGCCTTGAGAGAAGCCTTCTACAGACAAAATCTGCCCAATCTCATGAACCTCATCTCCACTGTCTTTGTGTTTGCAGTGGTCATATACTTCCAGGTGAGCTGGCAACACCGACTGAATACAGTCTATTGTCTTACCTGTATTTATTGCACCAAATGAATTTGGACTGCAGGTTTTGAAAAGAATTTACCAGCTTACTGACTTACTAGCACACTTTCTTACTTTACCAGGGCTTCAGAGTGGACCTGCCCATCAAATCAGCACGCTACCGTGGTCAATACAACACCTACCCCATTAAACTGTTCTACACCTCCAACATCCCCATCATCCTGCAGTCTGCCTTGGTCTCCAATCTTTATGTAATTTCTCAGATGCTCTCAACACGTTTCAGTGGCAATTTCCTCGTCAACCTCCTGGGAACCTGGTCTGTAAGTATATATAGGTGCTCCCTCCCCAGCACTTTCCACCTCAGTCTTTGCAACAAGACCAGGAGACTGTATTATGTAGTCTTGTTTTCACACACAGGGCACAGTCAGGTTCTGACTAACTTGTATTCTAGAAAGTTGTGGACATACACAACCTCTAATATATTTTTTTTAAATTTAGGACACCTCAAGTGGAGGACCAGCTCGGGCTTACCCAGTGGGTGGTCTCTGCTACTACCTTTCACCCCCAGAGTCATTTGGTTCTGTTCTGGATGACCCAGTTCATGCTGTGATCTACATAGTCTTCATGCTTGGCTCCTGTGCTTTCTTCTCCAAGACATGGATTGAAGTTTCAGGATCCTCTGCCAAAGATGTAAGTGTGTACAACTTTGTTTTTTGGAATATCACATTAAACTGTCCACTAATATTGATTTATGCATCTCAGGTGGCGAAGCAGCTGAAGGAGCAGCAGATGGTAATGAGGGGACACAGAGAAACATCTATGGTGCATGAGCTTAACAGGTACAAAGCAAGCAAACGGTGTCTCAAGTTTCATGTTTGCTATGTTCAACTTGTGTAGTTATAATTGATTTCTATTTACAGGTACATCCCCACAGCTGCTGCTTTTGGTGGTCTCTGTATAGGAGGGCTGTCTGTCATGGCTGACTTCCTGGGTGCTATTGGTTCGGGTACAGGGATCCTTCTGGCTGTGACGATAATCTACCAGTACTTTGAGATCTTTGTGAAGGAGCAGAGCGAAGTGGGGAGCATGGGAGCGCTGCTTTTCTAGAAAATACCAACTTGCTGACACACATCAGACAAAAAATATGCCCACCCCCACCCCAATCCTTTTTTTTATTTTTTATTTTTTTTATTTTGCAGTTCACACAATTGGTACATTTGCAGCTGGGATAGGTCACTGTTCCCTGCCACCTTAATTTTCCACCATAGCTCTCTCACATGTCAGTGCTGAGAAAGCATTCTGGTTACTCCCAGGGTTGAGAAAAGTATTGTGTCTCTTCAGTCCTTTTTATTCCAGTAGCTACTGCCCATGTCTCTGCAGCCCCACAGACTGTCTTATCAGCTAAAGAATGCCTAAAACACAAATGTGTGAGGTGTTGTCTCTGGCATTGTTCATTGCAGCATATTCAAGGAACACTTAAGACAGCAAAAACATGTTAGTGCTTTTTTTTTCAAGCTGAAAGCACTTTGTCTGGACATTTCAGGTGAGTTGAAAGAAAACCATGTTATGTTCATCATACAGTGATCATGCTTGAGATGTCTAGGAGCCTATACTAGAATGAGAAAGTATAAATAAAATACTTTTACTCCTGGTAGGGTTTCTGGTAATCTCAGGCAAACAGTGGATGGTTTTCATTTACTTGTGTCTTTTAAATGATGGACGTTTTTATTCACTCTGGTCTTATGTAGGGCACATTGTTTGTCCACTGTCTCCGGGTCCTCAAATGAAAGTGTTTGTGTTACTTGTTCTTTTATTCCCAGAATGAATTGCTGCGCAATACTGCCGAGACGGTTGGGATGAGGGTGGGTTTGATAGGGATGAAAAAGGGTTGTTTTTTTTGTTTTGTTTTGTTTTTACTTTATGTAACAAACATAATTGTGTTATTACGAAAACAGAACTTTTTCCAACACACCTTGACATTTTGAATTCTCGTCTCCTTTTTATGCTTTGCATGCTCTGTGATGACTAGAGGATATGGTTTGCAAGTACAATATCGAATGTGGCATAGTGGCACAGCAACCAGATGGACTTAGCACAAGTTGATATAATTGAATTGACATTAAAAAGTAGTAAAACTTAAAAAAAAAACTCACAGCAACAAGCTTTAACATAATTATGAACATCTTATGGATGTTTCTACAGTTGGGTTAATTCAGTTGTGGTTTGATTCAGGTGCTGCCCCTTGCACAATAACTTCCACTAGAGGTCACTATGTGCGAGGTTTAAGATGAACCCGCTTCACAAAGTATAACAAGGTGAAATTTTGCTTTTGAAGCTGTATACGCATTTAACAGCTAACAGCAACAATATCACATTAGTGTTTATATCAGTTGTTGCTCAATAGAGGTTTAGACAAAGGGGAAAAAAGTTTGGAATTGTATTCAAGGTCAAGCAAAAAGTCATGTTGGCTAAAACTCACTACTTCTAGATATCATGGACTGAATACTAAAGGCCCCAAGACGTAACTGAGCTGGTAATTAGCAGGAAAATTGGTAAATAATGGGAAATCAATCAAAATGTATTTATATAGCACTTTAAAAGCAACGTCTGGTCGACCAAAGAACTTTACAAGGGCAATATAAAACAACCCAGGAACATAAAGACACGAACTACACAGAATCAATAGAAGGAAGCATCAGACAATACTATGTATTAAAAGCCAAAGTAAATAAATATGTTTTACCCGGTGATTTAAAAGTTGTCAAGTCTGTAGATGATCGAACATGAAAAGGTAAACATTTCACAATTTAGGAGCTGCAACAATAAAAGCCCTGGGAACCTCTAAAACAAACTGGCTCGAGGATCTGACTACTCTAGTCGGGTCGCGCCAACTCAGCGAGGTAGGGCGGTGCCAAACCATTAAGAACCTTAAAAACAAAAATCAATAGCTTAAAATGAATTCTAAAACTGACTGGAAGCCGATGAAGAGAGGCCAGTACCGAGGTTATATGGTCAAATTTCCTATTACCTGTTAGACGAGCAGCAGTATTTTGAACCATTTGAAGACGAGTGAGAGACAACTGATTAACACAAAGTTATAATGTCTAGAGGTTATAAAAGCATGGATTGCAATCTGTCAATGTCATCTTATTTAAAATGAACACAGTTTATTTAGGAATTAATTTAATTTTTTACATGTATAAGTGCAGAAGATATATTACTGCTTTTATATAAACAACTTAGATATTTTCAAGATTGTTGTAAGCGGTTATAATCAGTCTTTCATTATATATGCCTCCAGTCCACGTGTCGAAGTGTCCTTGGGAAAGACACTGAAACCCCCCGATGGTTAGAGCCATCGGTTGAGTTGGCGCCGCAGATGGCTGCCTCGGTTCTGTACTGGAAACAAATTCCTTGTATTTAAAATACTTGGCCAATAAAGGTTGATTATCCTTATCTTATATTTGAAACTGTTCCTTTAAAAAAGCCGAGTGACGTCATTATCGTGCGCCCACATGTGGACAGGTCAGGGGGTTAATGTGTTGTTGGATGCCGGGTAGTTTGTCAAATGAAAGACTTGCAGTTGTGAAGTAGTTATTTTTGTCATATTTTACCACTGCGGACGAGGCTCGTTGGAGAAAATCACACGCCGACATGTCGTACTGCAGGCAAGAGGGTAATTCTGAACTTCATTCATTTTCAGTCCATGGCTGGGCAATGTCATCGAGCGAGGTAGCTATGCTACGCTACTTCTGTAGAGCTAGCGTTATATAGTACGGTTAGCTAGCTGGCTATTGGCGCTTTTCGTTTACCTCGGAAGTCGGAGCTGGGAATGATCACAACCGAGTTAAGTGTGCTCCAGTTTCAGTACCAGTTGAGTCAGATTAGCCGTTGTTGGCCATTGTTAGCAATACCAATGTAAAGCAACGCGTTATCTGGTATTTTGCGCATACAAGCACTGTAGCAACATGTTCACAGGTAAAAGTTAGACAGTACTGCGTTTATGACTGTTTTAATGGGACACGAATAAGGCAGAAGTGCCACTAAAGATGATATTACTGCAGCTTTTTACTGCTGATGGGCAGAACAGCCATCTTGATTTTGAGGTCGGGGTCAGTGAAGTTCGTACGACTTTCCCACTCGGAAATCCACTTCAGGGGACAGTCTAGTTGAAATTTCCAATTGGCAACTAATTCTGACTTCCTAGTTCAAATGGAATGCACCGTAAGCCTCCAGCTACAGGTTGATAATAAGTTCAGGCTTTGTGGTGATTGTAACTTGCATAGTTACTATATATTGTTACTTATGTTTGACATGTAAGCTAAGAGACCAATAGAAAGAATGATCAAACTGCTAACGTTGAAGTTGGCACCCATTCTGGTGTTAGGGTCGTCAAACGCCAGATCATGTTGATGCAAACAAAAAATTCTGGTATAACTCCAGTGCGCCCTCAGCTGTCACTATAAACCCAACAGTATGAAAATGTGTTTTTGTAAAACCCGTATTTGCATTGTGAAGTTATGCTAACATGTCGTCCAGGACCAGAAACTTACTGTAATGCCTGTTTTCTGTGTTTTTCTTATATAAGGTAAAGATCACATCATCTTTGTGACCAAGGAAGACCATGAGACACCCAGCAATGCTGAGCTGATTGCAGATGACCCCAATGATCCTTATGAGGAGCAGGGTTAGTCATTTAGTTTATTATGGTAAAGCTGGAGTTTCTAAAGTATTTTTAAAAGTCTGGTAAACAACAACACATTGATCCTACACAAATATTATGTACTGTACCTATAAAACTGCAATACAGTGTCCTACCTTAGGTTTAGCCTTTAAAAAATTGTACTGTGCATTGTCACATGTTTTAAAAGATTTGTATCTTCAGAGGGAACTGTTGAACTGGGACTGAAAGCCTTAGACTAGTGATGTCAGAAATGAGGCTTTCTGAAGCTATGAACGAATTTCTTTGTAAAAATGTTGGTTGTTTTGAAACATTTGAATCACTCACGCTGGTGGCATCTGCTGGCCCAATGCCTGTAAATACAATGGAAACTACCAACATGATGATTCAATGAGTGAAAAGAGTATCTTTTTGTAGATGTATATATTTTTTTATTTTTATGAAATATATTTATGTATGTGTATATGGGGTGAGAAACGCTTATGTGACTGGACCTTGATGGGGGAAGAGTGTTATCAGTGTTGGAATCATTTTCACAATATCATTGTGTGTAAATGAATTTAAAGCTTATGTATATTATAGATATGTCATATATAAAAAAGATATTTATATTCATATACCTTCAAAGTGGGTATGACTAACATTTTCAACAAAACTGTTTGTAAATAGTAGGTCTACATTCTCTTATGGGGAGTGCTTGTGACCGGGGCTGTAGATGCGGGAGTGTTCTCAGGAGTTTTATTCAGAAAAACAATTTGGCCAAGTGTTTTAGGACTTAAGCTGTTTCTTTTTTGCATAAAGCATCTCCTACTTTAGAGAATATTCTTTCACATGGCAGAGATGTTGCTGGAATGCACAGATATTTCTTAGCTAAATGAAACCGAGTAGGGCAAAGTATTTGGTGTGTGACCTAGTGTTCCAGAGGATCACTTGTTCTGCATAGGTATGGATAGCGCTGAACCTCCACTGTGGCAGCTGCAGTGGCACTCTGCCTTCTGAGTTTCTCTGACTTTGTTGTTGAGCAGGTCCCAGAGTTTGTCTTCTTCCTCACCCCTCTGGTCCGCTGCTGTTGATGACAACATTTTTATGATTGAAGTTTACATACTGTATATATGACACTTTTCCAGACTCGGGGGGATTGTTGATGGTGACAAAAATGAAGTCTATCGCCAGCCTTTGCCCTTAATCCATTAATGTATTCTGCTGAGTTGCTGTTGTCTGGTTTCTTTTTTCATTAGGCCTGATCCTACCAAATGGAGACATCAACTGGAACTGCCCATGCCTGGGCGGCATGGCCAGTGGGCCGTGTGGCTCTCAGTTCAAGGAGGCCTTTTCCTGCTTCCACTACAGTAAGGAAGAGGTGAAGGGCTCTGAGTGCATTGACCACTTCCGTAACATGCAAGAGTGCATGCAGAAGTACCCTGAGCTGTATCCTCAGGAGGAAGATCAAGAAAGCTCCACCCAGACAGAGTCAAATACTGGTTCTGCCTCTGTTGCTCCGACCGAGGGCTCTGCCTCTCCTGAAAGTGACTCTACCCCAGCAACTTCAAGTGTCTCAACTGACAGTGCATTAGCAACAGACAACCAGACTGCCAGCTAAGGTTAAACACTCATCATCCACAGGATTTTGCTGTCTGCGTGTAAGCACTGTCCAGCATAAATGACTCTCCATGAGGAGCTTTGATTGGTTCTTTTACCTTTTTAAGCCTACGCTGAGGGCCCATGTGCGTTCACACATATGGATACAAAGTAGTCGGCAGTGTCTGGCCTCCCTTGGCTCAGTAGTTCTGGGGATCTGTGGTGTTGAGCGTGTAACTTACATACCTTGCTACCACTGGACAGTTGTTTTTCTGGTGTCCACCATAGCCAGACATGGCAACAATGATGGCAGTTTGTTTCCACACACACAGTTCTTCTTTTATACACCCGAGTTACTGGGACATACAAGACATGGCAGAGAATTGGGAAGCTGGAGCCCGTGGTCATAAGCTTTTCCACTCACTGTCCCAGCTTTCTGCATCTGTATGTGTGAATGTATACATAGAGTAACACAGCTCTGACACTCATGGGCAATATTTACAAGGGCCATCAGAGGAAGACTGAATGCAGAGCAACGTAGCGCATGTACAAAAGTGTAGGCTGCTTTGTTTGCTGAGCACTCAAAAATCAGCGAATGATATGGTTTAATGACAGTGGGCCAACATGTGGACTGAAGGGACATTAGCGGAAAGACACTATTTGCAGCAGGTAAATTAATTTTTGTGTTTGTCCAAAGAGCAGATCTTTGTGTGTGTTGTCCTGGTAATGTTACTGGTCAGGATTATCACTTAGCACTGATTTATTACTATTTAATTTGACAAGTCTAAGAAGTAACCACTAGATTTTAAAAAATGTGAACAACGTTCAGCTTTTCTTTACAACTTACCTCTACTCGAGACAGCTTTAAATCTTAACAGTTGAATCCATTTGCTTGAGAGACCAAAACACAGGTCATTGGTAATAAACCAAGGCTGCTGTTGTAGCTTCTGTGCAGTGGACATTACATCAGTCTTAACACAGATGGTTTTAACTGTTTGTCGACATCTTGCAGAAACGTCTGGGTCTCCATCTACAGTACATCTGTTCTCATATGAATAATGGCTTTTTTTTTTTTTTTTACTGAGACTGCGTCTGTCCTAGACCAAAGTGGCTTGTCATGTTTCACTGACGCTGCGTAATGTTTTTGTTGTCTCACTATTGTCTAGAGTCGCCATCTGGATGTTGTGGCCACCATTCAGTGTCATTCAGGCCTTAAATGACTTAATGGTTTTTCCTCAAACATGTCTAGATTAAAATTGTCAATTTCAGCTTCCATTTTTTTTTGTCTTTTTAAGCACAAAACGGGTGTGGTCTTATGTCAGTGATTCTTCTCTTCACATGTTGAAAATCAGTTTTATGTGATCTTAATCACATAAATCGTCTAATATTACACAGACAGGTATACTATCTGATAATGGTATCTACTAAGATATAATGCTAAGACAAAATAATACCATTGTATTTAAGACTCATCTGATTATGCTGTCTTTCTATTAGTACAGCTGAGATATACATATCTTTTAAATGGGTTTAATCTTCAAGCATATATCCTAATTATCTTTATTTGTAACATGTTATAAGTATTAGCAAACTTATGCTGCCTATGTCTTTGTATTTTATTTTGCACTTTTAGAGTTTAAACCTATTAGGAAGTCAGGGATGATGAGGTTGGAGAATGATTTGCCACTTAGGTCCCTAGCTGGATACAAATCACTTAATTGGCCACTTCACATATTTTCTCTAAAGATAAATGAATACATAAAATGCTCTTTTGTACATTGGTCTGTGGTAATGAAAAGGAGGAGATAGATTCTTAGGGTTCTGGGCTCCATTTGTAACTTGGTCCAATATGGAATCAACTAATGGCCGTGAGGTGATGATCAGTAAACTTGTATGTCAACAACACTACAGTACAACACACTAGCAGACATTCAGTGCGACCACCCGAACATTTATTTCAGTCTTTATTTTGGTACACAGCCACATATTGTGAGTACTTGTATTAATTTTTTTGATCTACAGTGACCATGAGTTTGATTCTTGGATCATTTCTCCCTCACCAATGCAGTTTGTTGTCCAGTGGTTTCAGTACTAGTTATCTGCTGTCCTGTGAGTATCCTTGAGAAATCAGCTCAAGTGCATCTTGCCCTTTTTTTTATCATATGGTTCACGGACATCCATTCCTCAGACCCTCTGATATAAGTAGACCCAGTCTGGGTGTCCAGGGGACCGCTACACTCTGCATGGTAACCAGCAGACGGCCTGTCCCAGCCTCTTCTGGGCCTGCCAGCAGGTACTCCATGCCTGGTTTCAAAAAGAGTAAGATGTATTGTTTTAGAGTAATACCCACTTTGTCCCTTTATGCTCTTGGTTACACTGGTTGGGCTCAAATGTTCCTCTTTTAAAGCTGATAGACGATCAAAACTGTGAAACTACAGCCAGTACATCACATCCTGATTACATGTTCCTTTTCTGTTCTGTGCTTCATGTCTTCCACCACCAATTCCTTTTCTTTGTCATGTCTGTAATGTACCTTACCTGGGTTTAGTATAGGACAGGTGCAGCCACGACTGGTCCAGGACAGAGGATAGATGCTAGTAATCCCCAGGTACACTGCCACCTGACCTGATCGAAGTACCTTGCGAACTTTGACCTGTACTTCGGCATAGCTGCCTTTGTCCTGAGCAGACAGCACGCTGGCCTTGATCACTGACGTGGGTCACACAGGTAGGTTTGGCCAAAGTTAGCAAAGACTGAGAAGGTATTTTTAAGTACGAGTCAAATTATAGATCACAATTTCTAAGACATCTCCTACCATAATCATGTTTGGTCTTACACAGGTCAGACACACTCCTCAGCTTTTTCTCCTTACAGCTGCATTTTCCTGTGTAAAGACACTGGGATATGCTCTGATTGACATATAGATCCATAGTTTGAATTTTCCCCACACATTTTCATTGCACATAATGAGCATTATTTCAAAGTCGGCTTTGGACGCTCACCTGTGTAATGCAGAGCAGAGACTGCAAGCTCCTTTGACCACTGTACCTCTTCTTCAGCTGGGAACATATGATCCAGATCAGGGATTTTTCCACCACTGGGCACATTGAACACCTGATTATTTGTGTAGCTGCAAATGTAAAATAGAGCGTAGACCGTTATGGTTCAGTATTAGCCTCTATTTTAGCCTGCTTAGAGTTTGGTAAAACCTCTGACCACTGATTAAACATATGGTTACCTGTCCAGGCACAGCCCAGAGGTTGGATCACAGCTGTGAGGGCAGGCACAGGGTTTGCAACCCTCCTCTCCATATCCCCAGTAGCCAGGCAAGCAGTGGCTACAGCTTGTGCCCCCTACGCCTGATTTGCAGTGGCACTGGCCACTTCTAGGGTGGCACCAGGGTCCCTCCTCTCCAGGACGAAGGGGCAAAGAGCCCTGTGGATCACACCAGCAGTCTGAGAGACAAAGAGACAGATACAATTCTCTATACTGCTCAAACGTGGTTTTTTTCTTATTTTGTTGTCAAATTAGAGACAGATACAATTCTCTATACTGCTGAAACGTGTAGTTTTTCTCTTATTTTGTTGTCAAATGATGCACTTGCAAACATGCCAGCAGATGGAGCTGTGAGACATTTATGGTTCTTTTCCATTTCATTCACAAGCTTCCCTAACTTTGAATTAATTCTACTAAGATAACAATCATTTACTTTGCTTTTCTAACCAGATGTCAACACATCAGGCAATATCCCAAAGGAGTAAGTAACCCTCCCCCCTATTCTTTGTCACTCACATGTGCAGGCATGAGGGGAGTTGAGATGCAGGGATGGGTGGCGATGGTAGCCATGGCGACAGCGCTGGCACCTGCGTCCAGCAGTGTTGTGTTGGCAGTCGTCACAAACGCCCCCGCTGGTGCCACTGGAGGAAAGCCATGCTCGCTGGGAGAAGTGACAGCTATTTGCATGACCGTGGCACTCGCACTCTGACGACATACAGGTGGATGATGTCATAGCAATCAGAGAGATGAAAGAGGGACATAGTGAGGACATCAGGGTGGGGAGGATAGAGAAACTGAACATGGAACATGAAATTTAGATCACTATATATAGCACACTAGTGGATACTGTTATGAAAATGACTTGTGATCTGTGGTGACATTTATAAAACAATAGAATTTAAAGATGAAATATCTTTATAATATTGAATCGTTGCTCATGTAAAGACCAAAAACTGGCCCCTTGACTTAGCCCATCTTAAACCTCCACTATACAAGCTGGAGCCTTAATAGGAGCAAAGTTTTTCAGTCAAAGTTGACACCCGCAGTTCTCCCCTGATACTGCTTCAACACTTTACAGTCTCTTCTTTGGCTTTGTCTCAACAAGATGACTGCCCCCATCTAACAGTCATGCAGTCCTGTTGATGATCCCTTACTCTGGCATGGATTTGGCTCCCCGCTGCTGCCATTGGCGGGTCTCCAGGGACGATCATTGTAGAGTGGGGCACACTTCTCACAGTGGTCCCCTGTGGTGTGGTGAGTACACAGACACCTGCCAGACACCTGGAAGACACATCTGGTGCTGCTCAGTTATTTAACAGATGTTGCAGATACCTGCTGTCTGGAGATTGCTATACAATTGATCCAGGCAGGTGGTGTAAAGAGTAAATCAAGCTATTTAAAGCTCTTTAACTGGGAATTTTTCCATCAGTTTACCTCTGGCCCTAATACCCTGACACATGTGTTACACAAGACTGTAATAGGACCCACTATGTCTCACAGTCCCTTTGTGTGTTGATCTTCTACTTTGACACAAGTGAAGAAGCTACTCACCATGTTACTGTGCTTTCTTGTGTCTTGGCTGCTGTTGTATGGTACACAGTGCTCAGCATGTCCATGGCACAGGCAGGTACCTCTGGCCAATAAAGTAAAAATAGCATAAGGTACCGAGGCTGAGTTTTCTGCAGTGTTTGTAGAGGCCAGGGCTGAAGCTGTGGGTTTTGTCCCTTCTGCTGGGGTGTTTGGAGGTGCCAGACAGGTCTGAGCTTTTAGCAGTCTGATGCGGAGATTAGTGAGGGTGAGGCGGGCAAGGGCCTGTGGACTATATGGGTCCAGTGTTTTAGTGGTGCTGGGTTCCAGTGTTCGTAATATTACCTAGGAGGAGAAATAGCACTAATCAGTACTGAACCAAACAATGCAGAACAGTATAGATAAGCTGCTGGATACAGCAAAACCACCACATGTATAGTCTCTTACCTCCCCACCGCTGCAGGGGGTGGCACTGGTGTAACGAGACGTACACAAAGAGCCTGGCTGACTAAAATCATCAGACAAACCAAACTCTGTGCTGCAGTTGTGTGCAAAGAGCTTGAGAGCCTCCCAGGTCTTCCCAAAGTCAGCTGAACGTTCAATGGCCATGGCAGCAGGCCGGGGTGACCTGAACACCAACACCACATGGGACAGACAGAACTGTGTTTCCAGGTCCAACTGGATCTCGTCCTGCTGCGTTGGCATGGCAGTACCTGCACCTGATGCCCACCACGTTTCTGGGTGCAAGAAAGGGTCGTCAGTCATGTGAGCAGGTGGGTGGGGGTCCTCAGGGCAAAGATGCGGGGACGCAGGAGGGTGGGGGCATGGGTTGTGATGGTGGGAGGTGTCACCACAGCAGCCTGAGATGGTAAGTAGAGTCCTGCCACTAGCCAGGTTCCCTATGGGTGGACTACAGGCACGGTCCCATCTGGAAACTGACACAGAGGGTAATAGGGAGTCAATGAAATTCAAGTGTTGAGATAATACAAGTGTTTATAGGAGTGCTTTTACTGAACAGTATATCCTGTAACAGAAAGGCCTTCACAAAAAACAAGCACTTTCCAGCACTGACTGACTTCATGAACAAAATCCAAAATCCTCTTCGTTGTGTTTTCTATTAATTTTTCATTTGCCTGTGCCACTGCAGCTTGCTCTGATGTGACAGAATCCTGTCCTTTCCCCTCTGGACAGCATTAAGACTCGGGTTGTAACCTGTGTGGCAACGCAAACAGCAGGCACTATCAAAATCATCTGCAACATGAACGACTTTTGCTTTACTTTTACTTTAAAAGACAGCAGATGCAATGTCTCAAATGAAGACACTGTTATCAGGTTAACTGACATTAATCCTAGTGGAGTCACTACAGCGATCTGCTCAGTCAATAACACAGCCTAACCACAACACTAGAAGGGAGGTTTAGCCACAGTGACGCTGATTCAGAGAAACGGCATCAACAGTGACAGAGACACTGACACACCTCACCTGCTCCGCTCTGCGTCACAGCAAAAACCAGCCAACTGAGTGCCACCAGCATCTGATGTCGCCTTTTCCCAGGCATACTAAGCACTCTCATCCTCTTTTCTCTTGTGTTTACAACATACGCGCTGGGATACCACAAAAATTAGTGCCAACATTATGTGTGGTCAGTGTAACGGACAAGCGCATTTCTGCCAACTATGCAATGCGCAAAGCGTCCAGATGAATTCCATTCTCAGGAATAATGTTGAAAGACTCCTTGGTGAAGTTCAAAGCTTCCTCCGGGGCAGGTGGTGCGTCTCTCTGACAGAAGTAGATTGCGCGCCCCTGGTGCAGCAAAAGAGTCCGGTCCAAGAGTGAATAGCCTGCTCCACGTTTGAAATTACGAAATGTTGCCGTTTTCAGTTTTGATGTTGTCCTCATCTATTTTGCCCAAAGGGTCTCCACTGTATGCCAATTAATTAATGTGAATTCAGTCAACCCCAGAACTCTGTTCCCGGCTCAGGCGAGTGCTCTTTACGTTGATGCACAGGAGAACAGTGTGCGCTGTATTTATCCGCGCCCCCCTTCCCCCACCCGCGCGCGCACAACACACCCACCTCTTTGCCTGAATGGATAGATTACTCTGCCATTCTTCATTATGACACTGGATAATAAACACAGTATGGCACATGGCAGCCCATTTAAATTCTTTGTAACCACAAGCATGTCCGAAAAAGTTCAGTATCTTCTCTCTGTGGCGCACACACTCTGAGTTGGAAGAATAAACACCATGTCTCTTCAATTTTATGGCCCAACTTCAAATACTGGAGCTAAGAAAACTGAAACAGAAGCCCAGAGTTGGATGTGTTTTCATAAATGACTTTAATTCCATACAAATTGTTGACAGACCTCGCTCCATATTTATCCCAAGTGGAGAACATAAACTGGATTACCAAGGAGATGGAAATGGGAAGATGCTGATGAAGTGTGTTATGTTTGTACTGGGAGAAAAGGGTGTTTTAGAAGCAGCCAACAGTCGATTACTCTCATCAGTCCCTAATGAAATTGATTTTAAATGTATCTTGATGCTAAAGGGTTTTATTCCCTTTTCCAGTTCATATCACTCCATCTCAGTATCTGTTGTGCATTTGTCTTTGTTCACCCCTTGCTAGTCTTTCCTTTCATCTCTCTGCCTGCCTCATGCTTTCCAGTCTAACACCAGCTAACGTCTGGCCGGCCTCCACAAAATAAAATCCCAGAGGCTCTCCTTCATTTTTATGCATCTCACAGTTTCTCCTTTCATCTCACTCCAGTGTTACAGTGTATGCTAAAAATAGCTTTATGGGAGTTTGCCAATTTTGAGGAATTGGCTGGTATCTGGTAATGCTAGAGGATGATTTAGAGTCAGCTCTGGCTTGCTGGGACACCTGGAAATGAGATTCACATCTTCTCCTAGGTTGAAAAATGAGAGGACCTCTGTGCATGTGTGTGTTTGAGGAAGAAGGATAATGGATAAAACATAGAGTAAGCCCTACTGATCATCACAGTGGTCCAGCCTTGTCTTCACTGAGAGAATCAGGCTGGTTCTGGAAGAAGGTGCCAAAACTGTACACTATCAGTCTAAAGTTTTAGAGTGCCTCCATTTTTCCAGTTATTAGTGTAATTCAACAGCTGATCAGATTTTATCTGCATGGATATTACTGCTGTAGAAGTTCCCACAAAATGTGTTGCACTTGTAGGTTGCTTTGCTTTTACTCTTCATCTGCATGTCTGGACACTGTGTTGGCCATTTGAAGCCTACTCCCTGGTTCTTTTCTTCTACACTTTGCACACATAGAATTTGTTATTGTAAGTCATCAACAAAAGTTGGGACACCTGTAGGAACAATTTGCATCAATTTTCAAGGCTTTCTTTTACTTCCATTGCTGCAGAACAGATGTACAGGAAGTTAACCTATTACTTGATCCCTGAAAAAGGCCTGATTTACATGAAATTTACATACATTTTGAATCTTCAGTGACTTTTTTTTTTTTTTTACCTGTAGTACATTACTTCTTAGCTTTGTACCATTTAAGGTTATTCTCCAGACTTGAACTGCTTAAATGTCAGTAAAAACAGGAAGAAATGTGGGAGTTCTAACACTTTTTGCCTGTACTGTAGGTTTCAGTAAATGTATAAGTCACAGAGGTTTGAGGTCAAGGTTTGTGGTGCTCATAAAATATTTTTAGAGCAGCCATTTCATGTGGAAGGAAACTGTTTGGTTGCTAATTTTAGCTTCATAATACAAAACACATTTCAAGTCTTAACTGACTAAATTGTATTTTTTCTGTTTTACTTAATAGACACATAGAGCTGCCTATATTGACTTCTTCCTACTCCATTCAAACATGTAATAGGTGTAAGCAAACTGATTTTGAATTAGTATTGGTTGGATGTGTGTAATCATGTGTGTTATTGTCATTTATTCATTGTTCTGTTCTGTTCTGCATGTTTGAAAGAATCAATCAATCAATCAATCAATCAATATTCAATAAAAGGCTTGTTTAAAATGTGATCAAGAAATCCACACTGCAACATGTTGTACTAAATATGCAGAAATCAAAATGCCTCCTCTTGTTTTTCAGTACCTTTCAGTGAATCTGTTGTTTAAGATGTATCTTCATTATGGCCCCCAGATATGAGAGGTCAAATACCAGCCAGGAGAGGTCACAGGAATCGTCTGCCTCCCCCGTGACCGCTTCTCTAATTGCTCCTATTTCTCTCACTTGCAGGGCTCAATGCAGGCTGGGGTTTAGGGATCCAGGGTCAGATGAACAGGGTCACCCCCCACCTTGCACTATGATCTTCAGTGTTTGTCCGGACTGTTCATACATGCATGTGTTATACGCATGGTGTCACCAGTGACGTGCGGCCAGGGGAGGCTGGTGAGGCAGAGCCTCCCCTGTCAATCTTGAAAAGAAAAAAAAAGTTAACCATAAAATATAATAAATGTTAATATTTGTCGGCTGGTGTGTGTTGTAGGCCCTTTTGCCGTTCAAATCCGATGTTGAAGGAATTATTTTCAATAAAGAATAGCAGAATTTCCGTATGTCCCGTTCAAATACATGGAGGAGATGCGCGATGAGGCAGCACTTTGCTGTGCCTCTCGGTGGATCGTGTAATCCTCACAAACTGTATGCGATGCAAATAGTGTGTCGCTGTCCCTCTATATATCGCAGATAAAATGCTTTCAAACACTCTGATTATATGCACTGCCTTGCCATAATCTGGATGATGTATAAAATGTAGTTCTGTAACGTGTTTAGGCTGCAGATTAACCATAAAACCCAGTAAAAAAGTTACTCGGTGAGGCAAACAGTACGCCTGCCTCAAGGCAGAGGGCGCTAGTGAGCCCACAGATTCTTGCGCTACCTACAATCTTCTTCGTGCTTGTTTATATTTCCTTTACAATCCGCCTTATCAAAATGGAAGATTACATTTCCAAGCTGAGAAAATTCGCAAATCTGGACTTTCAATCAAAACATTTTTGACAGTCTGGACATTTTTGTCCAGAAGGATCTTCTTTATTGAAAACATTTGTTTTAATATTGGATTCGAACGGTAAAAGGGTTTGTAATACATACCAGCTGATAAATGGATTTCGTGTACAAGTAAAGGTAAGACCATAAACTTTTATTATTTCTAGTTAGAAATAAGCTCAATAGGAATAAATTTTAACCTCAAATTAAATATGGGTCACGTTTGTGTGAAGAATGCTGATATGAGATAAACATAACGCATTGTCTGTTAACAGACAATTTGTTAACAGTTCATTTGTATTTGTAAATCTGACTGTAAAAGAGTCAGTGCCTCACCAGCTGTCAACCTCACCGCACGTCACTGGGTGTCACACCCCACACCGACTTCTCTCTCCATGTCTTCTCTCATCCTTTGTGGCATACATGTCAGCTCATATGTTCCTCCAGGCATGAAGAGGATTACGCTGCTTTCTTACATGACTTTATTGCATGTAGGCCTCACTGGCTGCCTCGATTTGTTTCTGCAAATAGTTTATCTATTGCATGTGGATTTGAAATAATTATATTTATTACAGTCTAATTAAATGTTTGAGTTTGTTATGGCATTTTTGTCATGTAGTGGTGTATGTAGAGTGTACTTGAGTTACGCACTGAGGCCTGTTTAATGTTTTTTTTACAGGAAAAGCTTTACCAGGATGAACTACACAGCATGAAACATACAGACCTGATCCAGGAGATTCTAGATTTGGCAACTGAACTCATAAAAGAAATCCTTCCTCAGTCCTTTGCCCTGAAAAACATCAGCTCACACAGTTTGAAGTTAGGCCAAGGTTACAGGTCACCTGCAAAGGTCTGAAGTTCAAGTCCAATAAAAACCTGGTTAGTCTGTTCCTTGGACTTATTACAGAGGGGGCAGCTCTTCATTGCTGCCATTTTTTGTCATGAGGCTTGTGTCATGAAACCACAGAAACGTTTAGAGGCAGTTACTTCACATGCATGGTGTCCCTTTGATGAGAGAAAATGAACAACACTGTCAGATCAGAAACTGCTAGAGGCCAGACAAGGCAGGATGACCAATGACAAATTAAAGCTGTGAAGCATTTGAGCACACAGCAAACCAATATTACATGCATCAGTGCGTGGATGTATCTATGTGTTTATCTATGTGTGGATTTTTAGATGTTCAGGGAAGAATTATGGTCATTAACCCTTACAGTAAATACAGTATGTGGGTGTGACAGGCAGAACAGTTTCAGTTTATTCTTTACTAATTCTTAATGAGGAAGAATGTTGGAAATGTTAAGGAGTGGCTCATTTGAAGAGGCTTCAGTTGAGTGATGATGACTTGTTTGCAACCGTAACTCCTTTTTAATATTGGACAAATGAACCTTCCACCCACAAGCACACTCCTACTATACCCCCTAATGAGGGGGTATAGTAGGGTTCCATCAGCTAACAAGCTCAAGAATGACTTTTGTGCATCACCAAGTCACTCATGTAAACACACTGGGGCTCTGACAGACTAACACATACATAAAAGGTGCACACACACACACACACACACACACACACACACACACACACACACACACACACACACACACAAACAAACAATTGTTTGTAAACTCTTTCTTAGCTTTATATCAGCCACTTGTATAATAAAACCATTGGAATGCCAGACCACACACACTGGTGATCTACTGCAAAAACACACATGGACATGTTTTACAGATTCCACTGACAACCTTTTTATTCTTCCAGTTTATACCCATATATTTGATAAAACATACTGACTTGTCTTATATAACAGTTTATTTTAGCTGTCTCAACTTCACTGGGGTTGGTCAGCACAGTAGGCTGGGGAAAGATATTGGTCACTCATTAGTAACATCAGTTAGGTCCAGACAGCCAACAACACAGTGCTTATGTTGCATAAATACAGAGGTTTAGTTAAGATTTTTAACTCCACATCACTGAGGTTCTCCCACTGTGTTGAATATTTTTATGACCCCTGGTGTCTGACTTTGGTTCCCCTCCTAAAAGTCACACTGAGTAAAAATTCAATGCAGCTGTTTGAGGTCTGGAGCCACAGGCTGGGGGTTCTAGTCTGTCTCTCTCATGTCTGGCCACTTTGCTGCTTTAACGCCCTTCTCATCTCATTAAACGCATCTTTACTGGCGTGCCAAGAGTTCACCTCTGAGTCACCCAACCAGTGACGGCAGCTTCAACATATAGCCAAGCACAGGGGTCATGGTTAAACAACGGTACTTCAAATGACTGGGCAGAGTCAAAAATCAAATCTGTAACTTATATTCTGTGGCATAAATAACAGCTATATGTTGGTAGGATATAGAAACTTAAATTATCAGTAATTCAAGGATGAAATGTGATGAAAATGAAATTGTGCCAACAAATCAAACTCATCTGCTACTTTAGCAGAAGTGAGGGGGTCCTGATAAATCTGAATTTTAATCTGTGATTCATTACAAACTGAGAAAGTTCTCCTAAGTTGTCTTCTTTAATTGGAGAAAACAGGAAACAAATGTACTTGGTGTAACTTAAAATTATGAGTTCAGTTGACTAAACATGCAATGAATTGTTGTGTAGCTCAAAACTTTACTGTAGTTTGTTGCCTTGAAAGTTTGACCTTTTTCTTTTTTACAGTGTGCATGGAGGCAGCTTCATCCATATGTTGTTGGTATCTGCTTTAGTCTTGCAAAATGCACAGCGATGAAACACGGTGATGTCAATGTGACATTTACCGCCCTCTTGGTGGTTCTGTTTCATCTGTGAACTGCCACCAGTGATGTTCATTGGCCACAGTGATGGTGTGGCTCAGATCAGATGTCCTTTAAAAGGTACAAGTTGCTTTGAAAATTGGGTGTAATTATGGGTATTAGGTGATAAGTGGTCCTAAATCATTTTTTAACAAAAAAGTCCAGGAGTTCTTGTTGTTTCTAGCTCTATTGTGGCAATGTGTAAATTATAGTAAGACAGTTTTATCCAACTTTTTGATACAGTACAACTAAAGACAATGTCAGTTTATTCTCAAAAAAGTGTAATGAAGAAAGTGTGTCCTGACTTTTGACTGATGGTGTATGTGTGCAAAAGCTGAAATCACTGCATCTTTTCTGCAGGAGAAAAGAGATATGCATGAATCAGTGCAATCACTAAGACCTTGTCCAACTCTGTGACATAAATGGGGATATCCAGTGTTTGATCCTATCTGCCAACATCTGGCCCCCAGGATGAGCTGAAGTTAGCAGCACATGTTGATTTCATTAGTGTAAAATGGCAGTTAAATTCACAAATGTATGACCCTCACAACATCCCAGCATTGGAAAAGTGGGAGAGATGGAAGAAAAGAAGTTGGTGAATAATTTAAGGATGTTAGGATAAAGAGGGTAGACAATGGATTGCACATCTGGGTGATGATGTAAAGGACTACTACTGATGTTCTATAGGAGTTGATGTTTAGCCAGATCTTTCATGTCAGCATTTATCTGTTGCTATACTCTTAGTACAAAAAAGAAGAGTACAGGGCGGATCAAAGCTCTACAAATCAGTTTCTCTCACCTAGAGCTGCCAGCCACATCAGTATTGCCAACCAAACATTGGGGACCTTGTTTTGAAGACCACACCTCATCAAAGACTTATGGTTCTCATGTGGTTTTCTTTGCAGCCTCTCTGGCCCAGATGTATTTAATCAATAACATTAGGCATATGTTGACCATTAATAAACTGCTTGTTAGGATGATTGTGGTATTATCAATATAAGATGTGGGTTATTTAAACCCTTAGGTATTTGTATTTGATTTGGGCCTCCTCATTGGATGAGGTCATTGCTTTGAGACTAAGCTTCATTGAGAAGAAGGTAATGAAGCTGAAGGCATCTTACACTTCAGTAGGCCCATGTTGAGTAATAACCCAGAGCTGCCCAGAAATGCAGGATCTATAGCATCCCTATCAGGTCACTCTGAGTGTTTGCCATTTGTTCTTTGTCATCAAAGCGTTTTGTTTAAGACCTTCTCAAAGAGCTGAGTACAGTAATGATCACCTCTGACCCCAGTGGCGTTTTTTTGGCATGGGCAAACCGGGCATTTTTTCATGACGCGTGGGGGGCGGCACAAGCACTTGGAAAGAAAATAATCTGCGCCACTAAAAAATGGGCACCCGAACATACAACATAAACTACAGCCAACTAGCATGTGTTCTGTTGCCTGTGTGCACGAGCGCCGTTAGGGGGGGAAAGTTAGGACGATTCTAAGGGCCCACGAACTCTGGGGGCCCACAGAGACTAGCTTTGGGTGAGGTAGAGGGCCCAACTTCAAATTTTTTCATAGGGCCCAAAACTGCTAGCGGCGCCCCTGCAAGGTGAATTGGTTTAGTCTTGACTTCTGGTCGTGAGTGACAGTGTTGGCGGATGGGAAATCTGTTGATTGTCGATTGCAAAAAAAAACACACAAAAAAAACAGAGCAATGGAGAGAAAAAGGTCAAAGCTGTTAGGTGTCCAATTTAGGAAAAAGAGAAAAGAAGAAGAGGAGAAACGAGCAAAGGATAAAGGTATGCAACTACGTTCTGTATGATTACGGTATCCATGTCATCAATGACATCAGTATCAATCACTCAATAGGGGACCAGATTTCATATAATGACATTATTGATGATTTTGAATCAAGGAAGGCCAGAAAGGTCAGATTTTAGTTTTAGTTTGTGTTATCTGTTTTTAATGCAGTGTAATAATAAGATTTTCTTTAGTGTGTCTTGCCTGGGAAGTAATTCAGTGTACAACCGCCACTGTCTGACCCCCTTGTCTTTATGGGCCATGCCACAGCCAAGACCTCTCATGACCTCAGATGTGATTTTCACACAGGCTATACTTCATCTACTCCCCATTCCCCTCTTGACTTTAATTTATTCCTATCCGCATGGCAGCGTGTCCTTCACTGGTGCCACGTGAGAGTTCAGACACATGAAACTGTTCATTTGTTCTTGGCTATCCAATCTCAGGCTGCTCTGATGGATTTCAAATGAAGAGGCCAGGGCCAGGAGCAGGGGCTGTAGTGTATGATGCTGGAGATTTACCAAGGGAAATAAATGAGGTAATCATGCCCTTGTGACCCAAGAGTGTGGGGATGGCAAGGGTCAATGGGGTTTTCCCCCTTGTGGACACATTGAGCTGTTACAAGTGTGAAAGGAAACAGCTCCATGTTTGAGCTCAGGGGAGTATGAATTCTAATCAAATTCCATTAATTTATCATTATTACCTCACTATCTTCACAGGAACAGAATAGGATGTGAGCGTTGTGACACTTACCTGTGAAGAAGCAAATTTGCTCACAGCTCTGAGAATCAAGCTCCCACATGCTCGAAATGTGTAATATATATGAACATAATGTATAAATTAAGTATATGTACGGATATATAATTAAATTAGGAGATTGTTTTAGGTCTTCTGTTGCTGCCTTCATATTCAGAGGGCTTTTATCCAGGAGTTATTCTGCTGTTAGAGGACAACTAGGATCTAGAGACTGGGAGTGGTTTGAATGACCGAGTCTTGCACACTACTGCACCAAGAAGACAGTCAGTTTCAACTGCCACACACTCACGCTGTATAGGCTATGATCCTTTCTTTCTTCCTGCATGGCTTCCTTACTTCACTTGTCTTACCTTAATAGCGCTAAGAGAATTATTTTGATCTGTTGCTTAAGCAAAAGTAGCAAGACTGCAGTGTAAAACACTGCTAAAATAGGTACTAAAAATAGCCATTTTAGGTGCTCATTATGCAGCATATGCATACATGAATGCAGGCTTTACTTATCCTGCCCATTACTGGATTGATGGATTTCTGTATAAGCAGCCTTTTAACTGTTGGGGGTATGCTCTTTTATAACGTTATATTGTTAGGTAATTTAATAACATAATTTATAAACAGATCACATTTTGTATTTAAAACCTGAATCTGCAAAGTGACAAATCGATAGTCAAACAAATGTGGTGCTGTAAAAAGTAGCCTACATTTTCCTCTGCAGTGTAGTAGGCTACAACTATAAAGTAGCCTATAAAAATAAAATAATAAAGTAAACTGCAAGTAGGCCTACCTTTAACTTTTATTTAACCTAAGTAAGCTATAGTCGCGATTTGAGTAAATGCAACGTTAATTAGGCTAAATCACTACCATCTTACTCCTGCCACAGCTATTGTGTGCGTTGTTTTCTTGCCCATAAGTTGAGAAACTTTATAAGCTCTTTGTGTAGTGTGAACTACTTTCCCCACACTACTCTGGCTCCCTCTGCCGTTGGCCGAGCGACATGCAGCCATCACCACGACAACGTTAACGCGTCCGTTACTTCCACTTGTCAACTGAGATTACAGCAGTTCATCTAACCAGTGTTTTAGCTAATATTGTGTATTACTACAAGACACATGTAATTATACAGTCCGGGTATCTAAAATAAGGTAAGTCAAAATTCGTGTTGTCTGTTGTTTACAAAATTAAATAACACACTTTAGTTCATGGAACACATTCGGACAAGTGATTTGGCGAACACAGACGTCTGTGCTAGCTTAACTAACGTAGCTTAATATTACCGTTAATATTAAGATTTGATATTTCAGAATCCACCATTTACTGGTTTAATAGTTTTGTTGTAACGTTAGTTTACGTTATCTATCCTTAGTCCACACATACACAGAAGGACAAGTTAACGTTAGACATAAATTGCCCTGTTGTTATGGTCACCATAAAAACTGTTTACTAGTGCACGCTGGGGCAAGAATTATGCTATTGTATCTTCAGTTTTCATCCACATTTTACATTTCACTGTTCACACATACATCTTATATTGTGCTAGAAGATGGAAGGCAAACATTTGCCTGGGTTTGGGGCACTAGTTCCACATCCCCCCAGCAAACCTCCAGAGCCCAAGCCTCCAACTGAACGTGACAGACACATGCTTCGTCCGATCAGAAAACGCTTTGGGAATGATCAGAAGGGCATCTACTCCGATATCATCACTACATCCAAGTTCCAGGTAAAAGCAGTCCACACATAACCATACACGGAAGGACAAGTTAACTTTAGACATAAACGAAGTGTTGTTATGATCATCCTAAAAACCATTTACCAGTGGACTCTGGGGCAACATTACGCTACTGTATCTTCAGTTTTCATCCACATTTTACATTTTGCTAAAGCATGTTGAGGCAACACAGAAGCATGTAATGAGATGTTGAATCCAGGATTCACTGTTCACACATACATCTTATATTGTGCTAGAAGATGGAAGGCAAACATTTGCCTGGGTTTGGGGCACTAGTTCCACATCCCCCCAGCAAACCTCCAGAGCCCAAGCCTCCAACTGAACGTGACAGACACATGCTTCGTCCGATCAGAAAACGCTTTGGGAATGATCAGAAGGGCATCTACTCCGATATCATCACTACATCCAAGTTCCAGGTAAAAGCAGTCCACACATAACCATACACGGAAGGACAAGTTAACTTTAGACATAAACGAAGTGTTGTTATGATCATCCTAAAAACCATTTACCAGTGGACTCTGGGGCAACATTACGCTACTGTATCTTCAGTTTTCATCCACATTTTACATTTTGCTAAAGCATGTTGAGGCAACACAGAAGCATGTAATGAGATGTTGAATCCAGGATTCACTGTTCACACATACATCTTATATTGTGCTAGAAGATGGAAGGCAAATATTTACCTGGGTTTGGGGTACTAGTTCCACATCCCCCCAGCAAACCTCCAGAGCCCAAGCCTCCAACTGAACGTGACAGATACATGCTTCGTCCGATCAGAAAACGCTCTGAGTATGATCAGAAGGGCATCTACTCTGATATCATCACTACATTCAAGTTCCAGGTAAAAGCAGTCCACACATGTCACAGACTATTTATTATGAAGACCATGCAAAGTACTGAGCATCTGTTATGCTCTGGCCTAAAACCTGATTAACTGTATTGATTAGTCTCTTACTGAGGGACCTGAGTTCCAGCAGAGGCACCAGGGCCAATCCAGCCTTGAGTTAAGTGAGTACAAAATACCAAAACATGGGCTATCCTATTACATGTCATTATAGGCATGGAGATATTTTATTGATAAGATGCATATTATGTTCCCCTAGAAAAAAATGGAGTATCAAATCTTTGCCCTTCTGCACTCTTTTCTTTAGTTAATACATCTTTGAAGACACCATCTAACCAGTGCAAGCTTTTTGAAAAGCAAAACCATGGACTTAAGGCACAGCTATCACAGAATTCTTACTTTTGCTGCGGTGGAGATAAACCCAAGGTCCAGTTACCCTACAAAACCGTTCCTGGCCAGGTACCCCGCAACTTAGCAATAGAGAGGTATGTACTGTTTGTGTGGCCCATGTATGACAAATGGGAACACTTCGTTTGTGAAGTGTTCCGCTTGTTGCATGCTATGTAGTAATAAACATATATATTCTACTATTCTAACGCTGTAGGACCAGAGTCACTGGTCACACGTGTACAGTATGTAATGAGTTCCGATTATTGTACTTTTGCTGGTCAAATAATTGGTTTATTTTAACTGCCTGTTTTCTAAGATTCATTTATACTGTTGTTTATTGTTTTCTTATAGATGTCGAAGGGAATACTTGAAGTTAGATTTTGAACAGCTCCTGGCAGAAAAGGGAATAGATTCTAATCTTATAAAGCCAAGACAGCTGAGCAGTAGAGAAGAGTATGTGACCATACCAGACAATGCTGAGTCACCGTACCTCCCACTGGAAGTGAGTCTGCTGCAGTCTTGTCTGTGGTGTTTTGGTTGCCGGTGACTATTATATCCCAAATTTTAGGGTTCAGCACCATGCACAATTAGGTTTCCTCTGTTTTTTTTTAGATATTTGACAATGAGGAGTATGACTGCCGGACTCCAGAGGACTGGCTTGCTTTAGGCAGTGCTGAAGGGTCTCCTGATCGAAAACCTATTCCTGCAAAAGCACTGCTGCCTACAGATGATAGTATTTTGTCTGGTAAAATGTCCTCAGCAATGTACTGTGTGAAGAAAGATAGGTGTTATTTTCTGTGCTCTGATGGTTCTTCTCTCTCTCTCTCATCTGAAGAGGACACAAAAAGCTTCTGCTTGGAGTACAGTTGGCATTTAGTTGGCGTTCTTGACTATAGTAAGGAGAAACGCCAGTACCTGGTACAGAAGGTTCACTGCAACAGCAAAGTGACTGATGAAGAAGGAAAACCTGGTCTGTATGAACAGCACAGAAAGAATAAATCTCCTGGTGGGTTTTTATGTTTTATGTTTTATGTACTATTGTCTTATAATTTCCTGTTGCCTCTGGTGCCCCCCTGTTTTACACAGGAGAAAACCCCTTCATAGCAGGCGCTGAGTACTGGGTACCCAGGATCAGATTGTTATTCACTGCTGAGGACCCACGTGTCTTTGTCGAACGGATCTGGTTTGCTCTGCGCTTGAGGGAGAACACAGAGGCTCTGCTCCTCTACCACTTGTCTTTGGACTGTATGCCCATCTGTAGGGGAACACCATCTCTTGATACCCCCAGTCTCGACCGTATGAAAGAACTTGCCCTTTCAACTCCCAGGCTTAGGCGGGAAATGTGAGTAATGTCAGTGTCATACTGCTGCTGAAATGTTTTCTTTATTCAGCATGAACTGTTTTATCATAAATCACACTGAATTTAAATGTTAACTAACTAATAAAGGGTGAATGAAGGGAATATTGTTTGTGCAGTGTGGAGAAGTGTATAGGAGACCTGGAGAAGGAGGTAAAATTGGAATATTACCGTACTATGAACCGCATGACCTTTGACAAAGTAGTGATGAGTCACCCAGAGGAGTTTTCACATATCACCCTGCCAAAGAAGGACCCAGAGTATGTACCACAAAAAGGTCAGTCAATTGGACATGTTTTTGAGTCACTAGAGTCCAGATTAAAGAAATGTATTACATCACAAACTCTGGTCTTCACCTCAGAATCTAAATGCTGATTTGTACAGGGTGCGTTCCAGTTCCTCACTTTGCCTATAAGGAGAACCAAGCAGCATTCGTCTTCCGTTCCCTGCTGACAAAGCCAGAGGTGATCTGTGTACTTTCTGAAGTACGGTCTGAGTGCATCAAAGTAGCAGCCATGAGACTGTTCAATGTCTCCTTGATCAAACCGCTGCGACTGGATGAGTTTGAAGTCATCCAGTCTCAAATGCACACCAAGGTACTGTAACATCAAGTACTGCCAGTACTTAGAAAAGATAAGTGAAATACTTAGTGTGCTACAACGATGTCATCAGGACAATTTAAGCTTGTTCATGTTCAGTTCATTTCTACACAAATTTAACAGCAGATTCCTTTTTCTTAATTAAATGGTACTGGGAAAAATGCCAACAAATACATTTTGTGGTTGATGTTATTTGGGAATTACAAGAGGAACAAACTGTGTAGACATAAAAAAAAGCCCAAAAAACCTCTGACTTTCACATCATTAGAGATGTATCAAATCTTTTCCTTCCTCCTCAGATCGGCTTGTTTCTTCGGGAGACATGGAGGGTCACACTCGGCAGCAGCATCCGTTACAACCTGGGCAGTATGGGCCGGGGTGCGTACAATGTGAACGAGTCTCGCTGGGACATGTATAAGCTTTCCAAGCTGTACAAACTGATGACTGTGGTGCACTTCAATATGCAAGACTCCCTGCGCTACCTTGTGAAGGATTCACTGCTCAGCCTGACACACCTTCTGTTGGACGCCTGCCACAGTGTGCTGATGTGTCCTGAGGACCTGATCTGGGGGAGCAACCTCATCACTAGCCCCTACAAGTACTGTAGACCAGTGTACAATTGCACCTGTAGTATAAAAACACACAGGCACATTTTCACATGGAGATGAACATCTTCAAACATTATTGTGCTCATAGCATTTATAGTTTTTTATTCTCTTATTATATCTTGAAGTTAATTATACATTATATACTCTGTTTAGTTTTAATGAGTATTTAATAGTTAGTGTGACATATTGAAGTTGAAGTATTCAGTATTGTGTCAGTAATGTTAATTTATTGTCAATATGTAGACCAAAGAAGCACCCTGTGTTCCTGGTGGACTTGGTTCTGGACCAGACTGGAGTTCATTACAGCACTCCACTGGAGAATTTTGCGACATCTGTCGTTAACCTGTTTGATAAAGCTATTCTGGCCACATACAAAGTACCACTGCTTGACAGGGTAAGATAAAATCTGCAATCACATAACTCACACAGCATTAAATTAAAAAATAAAAACACAAGGAGCTAAAATGTGTTAATGATAGACTTTTCTATCCCTGGATGTTAATAATGTGAGGTTTTCTTCCTGTCCATACCAGTTTGTGATGCAAAACTTATTTATGGCTGATGATTTATGGCTCGAGTCAGTGAATCTGTGGGAACCAGAAGTTATTGAGCTGAGAGAGAAGGTCCGCAGTGCTCTAATACAAGCAGCTCTACCTCTCAGGGCTTATGCTGCTGAATATGAGAAACACTTAGCGCTGCATAACTTAGATGTAAGAACCCTTCTCAGGTAAGTTTATGTTTAAAATTATAACTCTTTATACATTTATAAAAAATTATAAATGAAAAATATAAATAAAGTTCTCACAGCTCCCAATCACTTGTGTATATACATTCAAATTTATGGTCCAAAGGATGCTTTCCTTGTTGAATGAAATCATTTCTTTTCTCTCAGTGATTCTCCATTATGCCTCTGTTTTTGCTGCTAGTTCTCATATTCAGGCAGAACAAACATCCCAGGAATTGAAGAAAGAGGTGGAACAAGAGCTCCAAGAAAAGGAAAGGATTGAATACTCCTTGCCATCCTCCATTGTGATTGGTCCATTTAAAGTTCGTGTGGAGTCTGTACGTCAGGCTCTCTCTAACAAAAGAAAGGCTTTAGCCAAAGCAATGCTGGACCGCCTTGCTCTGAAGCTGCGAAAGCAGGTTGATGATGTAAGTAATTTGCTTAGAGACCTCATACATACTGTATGAGTATCTATTTTATACCCAGGGCCTACATTAACTTCGGTTTGAAAATGTCCTTTTCCTGTTTTTTTTTACTTGCATTGTGAACGTTGCTATGTTGCTTGTGTAGGCATGTGAAGAGTGTAATATCATGAGCAGAAAGCTACATGAGAAGCCCAACAGCATTGAAGAACTGACGGAAAAGAGGGAGTGGATGAAACAAATCCCACAACAGCTCAAGAGTTACAAGGTGAGTATTGAAGAGACAAAGCAGATATTCCATATTACATAACAAATAAAGGTTGCTTTGCCAATAAATCTTGTTTTTCCCATCTGTTCACAACAGGAATGCATTGGCAAGATCTTGTCAGACTATGAGCTTTTAGAAGAATTTTGCCACTGTCTTTCAGATGAAGATGTTAGTAAAAAGTAAGTGTATAATGCTCATGGAAATATTTGAAAAAATATTCTCAGATTTGATTACATATGCTCTCATGGGGGATTAATGGCAATTTCATGGGTTTGTACTTGGTAGAGTGAATAGAAGTAAGTCTGGAGATTTTTAACTGAGTTACCTGCCTGTGCAGGTGGACAGCCGTTAGATGGCCTCAAAGGATAGTCAACCAGATGGAAGCAGTAGTCATCCAGCATTTGGAGGATGAGGAGCGCTTCCAAAAGATCCAGCTAGAGGATCAAAACAACCTTCAGGAGGAGTTAAACTCTCTAGAGGTAATCTAAGCCAACTCTGTTTTTTTAAACAGCCACATACCAGAGATCATTTCAGAGTGTGTCCTCCCTCTTTAGCTTGCATAAAAAAAACTCCAAAATATCCACACTGGACAGACTCTGTTTTTTTTTTTTGTATTTTAATGTCAGAAATCAGTGCTATTTGGTTCTATATCACCATGACGGTTTACAGATGCTGGTTGCTGGGTTTGCCTACCACTCAGGCACCGATCGTGCCCATGAGCTGGCCAACAAGATGATGCATACAAGCAAGCAGCTTAAGGAGTGCCAGA